CCAGAGGGGCAAGTTCCAAGGCCACGGAATTCTTTTTGTTGCAGTTTTTATTCATATTCAGGGTCTTGGATGAAAGCATGGCCACAGCCTTATAGCAGTGTGTAGTAACAATGATTTAAGATTGAATCTGCAGAGCTGTGGCGTGGAGAAAAAATAGCCGCACCTCATCTGCATCTATCTGTATATTTCTCTGTAAGAAGAATCAGTTATCCTTAAAAAGGTACAGGGTATTTCCTTAGAGGTTTATCAAAAGATATAAGATCTATACTTTTGTTGCCTTCCTAGAGAAATCTGTTTGGGAATGAACCATTGCTACTTGTTGTAGGGGAGAAGTATTAATGCCTTGTGACTTGCATAAAGGGGTCTTTACAAGTTGCACAGAGAGGTTGTAGCTGCAGGTATTCACAGCCAAGTTTGATGGGGCTCTGAGCAATCTGATCTAGTTGAAGGTGTCCCTGCTCATTGCAGAGGTTTTGGACTAGATGATCTTTAAAGGTCCCTTCCAACCCAAACCATTCTGTGATTCTATGATTATATTCTACAAGGATCAAAGTGCTTGAGGTTGTTTGCATCCTGACAGTGGACACATGAATTTGTAATTGGCAAGGACTGCAAGATTTCTTACATGTGCTGTGCCTGACAGCATCATTTCCCAACAGTGCTGGTTTAGAGCAGAAAGGTAAGATTTATCTGTTTCATTCCTTCGAAACCTGGGCTCAGCCCAGTGTTTGTGTACGATAAGTTGGCAGAGAGAATGATGTGGAGCAAAGCCATTGGCCCTCAGTAACCACCAGGTTCTCTCTGAGGGCTGTATCTGCAGGGCACATGGTGGAAACCTTTTTCTCCTGTGTGGATCTCTTCCACAGGGAAGCAGAGACCATTCCCCCATGCTGCCAGTATGCAGCTAGCCAAAGGCTATGACTACAGCACCGTGTCTATGGTAAAGGTCGGCAGCAGAAGCCATGTACAGCTTTCAGCCCAAGTACAATCAGTCTTCTTTATGCAGGCTCCAGGCTCATGCAAAGATTTTCAGTTTCAGTGCTCTCCCTTCTGCCTTTATCAGTGTAGGTCCTGCACGCTGGAGCCTGAGTTTCCTGAAATGGGGAGTATTCCATTTCTGGGCATATTTGCACTTTTCACTAGCAAAATGGGGATGTTCTGCTAAAAGGAAAATATAAATTGTGCTTAGTTCTTTGCTGACACTTCAAGATTTGTCATTGGTTCTTCCCTCTCACTTAGTCTGGGTATAGTACAGATGTAACACACATTGTGCAATGTGGATGCATCAAAGCAGGAGAGAAGGGTCATTGCACATTTTTTTCAAAGAGGGAGCAGGCAGGGTCCTTCCACCCTACTCTAGTGGTTGCAGATCACCTTGCCCATATTTCCTCTGCCCTCAGTGGAGGCACTTTGAGAATATGATTTCCCTCACTCCATCTTCCTTTGGCAACACCATGAGGTTTCCAATGTGACTGGGACAGCTCTTATCCAGCAATATGATTTCTGCCCCAAGAACTTGTTCCTGTTGCATAAAGACCAGGAGAAGCAGCTCTAAGGAAACCCAGGGCAGATCCCTGTCTTCTCCCATGAGGACAAAGCAACCTTTTGATGGAGAAAAGGAAAATCAGTGCAGTTGACTCAGGCCACCATAGGTACCCAACTGAAGGTTGTCAGGCTTCTGTTAATGACTGCAGTCTGGGCTTTCAGGTAGCTGTGGATGGCATCTTTTCTTAGGGCCATATTAGGTGACTAATTCCTGCAAAGAAGACAGTGCAAGAAGGCTTAGTGCACTGTTTTACATAATAGCTCTATTGAGTCTGTTTTATTATGAAAGGAAACTCTTATGTTCTGGAGCAAAACTACTTTTTGAAGTTGAAAGAAAATACTGGAAGCTGATGAAATTAAACTGAGGAGAAAAACATACCCCATTATTTTCTTTGACCACATTGTTTTGCTTTTTAATAGATGTTTGGAAATGTTCTGTTTCTAGATTTAACATTTGTATGAATCTGCTACCGGAAACAAATGTCACAGAAAATCTACAACAGCATTAGGGAAGTCAGGAAAAGGGAAATCAGTCAAGTCAATATTGATAGGGACAAATCTCTGTTTAGTTTAGCTTTATGTCCCACAAAGAAGGGGAAGGGAGGAGGGAGTGCCAGGGAGGCGCACAGAGAGAGTGAGCCTTTCTGCGTGTAGTGTTTGCCCTTATGGGAAAGGATTTCCAGGATTAGCGTTCCCGTCCTGGTTCCTGAAAGGGGGATAAGGAAAAAAAGAAATGTGATCCGTAAGCGTCTTCTCCCAAACACTCTGAAAGGCAACCACATACTGGAGTCATGTGTTGTGTGTATATGGACATGTTAAGTAATCTCAGACACCTAATTGTTTTTCAAATGCCCTTTTGCATGGCTTAGGGAGAGGGATGCAGAGAGGAAACGCATACACCAGAGCAAAGTGAGCCTTAATGCCACAAGGCTGCTCCTTGTTTACACCAGTGGGATGAGATGAGAACTGGGCATTGCATTTAATTGTACATCGGTATTATATGAATCATGTGTATGCTCTGCTTTTCACACTCTCTCTACAATCTGATTCAAGCACATGTGCACTGTATTCAACAGAGACCTATTTTTTACCCTTGTACAGTTCAGGCCTGAGGTCACCTACGAGACAATATGAGACAATGCCAGTACAATATTTTTTTGTATCAGACTTGCCAAAACACCACAACTCCCTCTGTGTTTAAAAAAGAAAAAAAAATAATAAAGAAACCACAAGGAATTTTTATTTTGTACAACCCCAATCAGAAGGCAGAAGAAGCTGCCAAATTATATGATAGAAACTCCTACGCACAGAACCCAGTAGAGCTGTAAACTAAACTTCTGTAGCTTTTCAATTGTAAATCCAGATGCTTTTATCCGCAATTCTTCTCAATGACCTTTCACTTGAAAGTCAATTTGTCAGTCTACTCACAGCGTCTGAAGAAACCATCAAAGCCACAACACCAAGTTGTTCTGAAGATGTTGCTCCTTGCGCAATGGCAAAGATGCTACACTTGTTTCCTGAGCCCACATCTTGCTCCTGCTTGCAGGACTTGAATGTGTTCCTCGCTCCAGACAATAGCAGCAGCACACAGCCTTGCCCACTACAATCTAGGTAGAGGAGGAAGGGAAGGAAAATTACTAGGAAGCACAATATCAAAGGTATTTCTAGTTGTTATGCCTGATCTTCATCAAAGGTGTCCCCTTTGATAAATTTACCCTTTTCTGCAGCTGAACACCATTGGTTACTCTGAAGGCAAACACCGCTTGAATGCAATGGAAATAGCTGAATAACTTCCATACTGCTATAACACAGATGAATTTGGGCTCTGGTTTCAGGGATGGGTACACAATACAGTGCTGGGCTTGGTTCCCTGAGCTGAGCGCTGACTCTAAAATCCCCACCCAGGCAAGGGATACTCATGTCAGCATGCAGACTCAGTCACTGCAGCACCCGCTGACAGAGAAAGCACAGAAACATCCATTTGGAAAAAGAATTCAAGAGCTCAGTCAGATGTTTCCTACACCTCTTGGGCCTGAAAAACAGGCTCAAGAATTTCCAAAGTTCAGGCTCAATTATATTTCTGGTGCTTTTCAAGTTTGTATGAGCCAGAAATGTGGGAAAGCAATATTTGGTGAGGGTTGGATGCTCTTGTTTGTTTTTGCGGCCAACACAGGACCTGCCAAACTGTGAGGATACAAAAAAGAACAAGGAAAGTTGCATGCTGTGGGAGGGAGTTTTAATGTGTGTTTTCTAACATGGAGGAAATTTACATATAAGTTTTAAGAGTAAGCTTCTGGCTGGTTCTAATTACCACCTACCAGCTGATTCCATCAATCCTAAGGCTGGTTTCGCTCCCAAGTGTCGGTTATTTTTACTGCTATTAATTCCTATTTGAGTGCTGACAATGTAATCAGCCCGATGAAGAAAACAGAACTGAAACTCCTACACTGCTGAGGTCACGGGCTACAGGACAGGAATCAGCAGATGATCTGAGTGGGCTTGAAGAAAGTGCTGATATTTTCAGAAGATATTTCCCTCTTCCCCTTTTTAGATAGCGCCTGGGGAGGGAAAACACATATAATAGGTGGGAGGTGCTGTTCATGTGTCATGAGAACAGAGGATTCAGGGACACAGAGGAAGGAGCAGAAGGCATGAAGAGTCTCCAAATGAAGAAAATTGGAGAGATACAATCAAAAGTGTCAGCTACTGCAGAGCTGCCCAGGGTGAGGGCACTTCTGGTAAGGAGGAGAGCAACAGTTAATGTTTGGAAAGCACGATCATCAGGCTGACTAATTCTCCAGTTATTGATGAAAATATTTAACATTGGATGGGGAAAAGGTCAGCAAATATGACAGTTACCCCCAGAGATGCAAAAATCAGTCAGGATAGAGCCAGACCTGCCCTCAGCTGTCATCCAAATCTTCTATGGAATAGAATGAAAAACTTTTCAGGTTTGGAAAAGGAAAGAAAAACTGGGTGAGTCTGGAAGCAGAAGTACAGGACTATCGTGAGGAAATCTGTTGCTGGCTCAGTCAAAAACAAGCAGTACTGGAAAGCTCATGAGAGAGTCTGTGTTTGTATGATTCTAGTCTGACTCCTACAAGAAAAAGGGGTCAAAAGTTTATCCAAAGTTTAGCCAGTACCTGAACTTTCCAACGCTGAGCTGAACTGAACCTCTAACCCAAATCACTCCTCCAAATGCGATATTATTTAGATCACTTTTTCAGTTAACCCACTTCATGCTCAGCTATTAGACTGCCTTCATCCTGCCTGCGCTTGCTTACTAACATGCATCTTTGGAGTTAAGATTCCTACTGTGGGGATGCAGAAATTGAGGCCAGGGTCACTGTGAAAGACATTAAACCTTGCCCTCCTCCTGATTGCTTTCCTTGTACTCTTTCTATGTGGTGCCTTGGCATGCACATTAAACCATTTTATATATCCCTTACACTCAGGTACGTGACTCAGCAGGGGAGATATGGGCTGGACGGCTGCTATCACTCAGGCTGATGCTTTCCCTGCCAGACCATCGATCTCACTGCTACATGGTGCTCTCCTGGATTGCCAGTGAGTCTTACCCAGTGCCTTTGTCTTTAAACTGTCCAGCCTTGGCAATGGGGCAAGGGGGTCTCTGTGTGTACCTCCACTGCAAGAAGAGCCCAGCATGAAAAAGCTATGGTGTCGCTGCGGTATTAGTGCACAGTCATGGTGCCTAGTAAATAAGCCAGGGTCTAAATATGGGAGGAAGTGTGAGGTCCCAAGGGAAGACTGGGATGGGGACATTGCTACTTTTACCTCAGAGTGGCTCCACTGGCACTCACAAGCCCTGCCTAGGGCTTTTAACCATTATCTATACACCACCAGTGTAAGGAGAGCAATAAATTCCACCTCTTGCATGTCTCAGTGCAGATACAGTTTGAAATAGCAGAACTGTGTTGCAAACCAGCCAGGCCAGCCTAAGAGGAAAAATAAGTTCTTGTAAAGCAACCCGTATATAGCTTTGTCAGCTGTAGGGACTTCAGGCAGCAGTTATATGTGCTGAGGTGATGCTCCTTTATGGAAGCTCCATACTCCACAGCAAAAAACTGGTGAGGTTCCACATAGCCATGAGATTCAAATAAAATCCTCAAAATTATTTAAGCTGTGAGGTATTAAAACCCAAAAAGTGAACTCTGAGGCTGTGTAAATTCAGGATCCCAAAGTCGCCTCAGAATTTAATCCTTAGGCTTAATCTGTAGAATGACACTTGTTATATCGAAAGCAGAGAGGCTCTGAGATTTATTCCAACAGATAGTGGAAAGGTATCTATTTATAAAAGAAACTTCTCAGGTTCCCCCAGGCATTTGTATTTTCCCAGTTGACTTTTGTGTTTCAATAGCAAGAAGAGATGCAACCTATAGAGAGAGATGCCACTTTTCTTCTGTCAAATACTGCACATTCCAGAGTGCTTGCTCATGCTACATCCTTCCCTACGGAGCTGCTGCCTAACTTTCCCAAAGTCGATATTAATATCACAGACCATTATAATACAGTTATTTTCATGGAAGCCTGGGAGGAAGTCACGTGGCATTAATTGGTCCCTGGTGCCCATAAGGGCTTCATTTAGTTTGTTGGTTTTACTCTCACAAGCAGTGATGAAGTGAAAAGCTGAGGAAGTAACAGTGATTGTTCTAAATGAGTATTTTTTAGTACCTGTTTTGTTAATGAATCATTGTTCCACTTAATTGGATGAACACATTTATTAGGCAGTACGAGGACACATGCACACACATTCTCCGCCGGCCAAACTGAGTTTTCATACCTTCTCTATGCCTGCAAGGGCTGGACTGCCCCAGGTACTGGTGGCAGTGTATTCTGTCTAATACCCTTGAACCAGGCATCACCCCAGGAATGATGCCTGGAATTCTGTGTCAGGAAGGAGCACATTGTGATGGCTATACAGTCATCTTCCTCTGTCTATGTGCTTTATTGAGAAGCTCAAAACAGTAGCAACACACATACACACAGGACCACTAGAAGGGTCTTTCTTGACAACTACTTCTGCTCCTGTTACCTCTCAGTTCAAAGCGAATAGAGCTCTTCCACTGGTGCCACCTCGTATAAACTGTATGTGCCTGATTTTGAGACAGTTAGAGCCAAGAATGTAAAACTGTTCTGGTTATATAGCTGTTATATACAGTGCGTGTGTAAGTGTGGACACTGGAAAGCAGGGCTCTCTGTGTCTGACTATGTGCAGCAGAAAGGAGAGCATGATCCTGCAGGCAAAGGACAACTCTGAGAGCCCAAAGAGCTGTAGTCCCATTGGTGACATGTAACTTCTACAAGAATTAGTTAACTCCCTTACTTCTGATAATTTATGCTGCTGTTAGGATGTGTTTATAGCTATTTTGCTAGAGATGGTTAAAAAAGCTGATTCCTGTCAAACATCTATTTCAATGGAAGTTATGTATGGTAACAGTTTTTTTTGTCACAATGTGTGCTTTTTGTCAGATTTTTTTACCTTTCACTGAAGAGTTGAAAACCCTCAGAACCAAAACATTTTGGTTAAAACCAGCAACAGTTATATTCAATTCAGAAATGCTGTTGTAGTACCTCACAGGAATAGTAATTTGACTGCCCCATTCTTCTTCAGGATTTAGAATCCCCAGCTAAATACCACCTCCAGTATGCATCTCAGGGGGGACAGTCACTGTGAACCATTCACACAAATGGATACCAGAGGCAACTAATCCCCACAAGGTGCCACAGCAGCATTTCCTACTTGAAAGTTTCCTCTTTTCCCCTCCCTCCCCTCAGAAGCTTTCACCTTTGGAGGTATTTTGGATGAAAATCCAGGTTTTCAAGTATCTCTGAGAAAGAATTTTTCCACCATTTTTAATGGAAAAAAAACTAGGGTTTGGTATTTACATATTTTTGTGCCATATTTCTTAGCCAACAATCAATGTGAAAGAAAACTTCTAGCAGAGAGAGTAAAAGACTGCATCCCTCTAATCCACTGAATTTAGAAACTATCCTGATGTTTGTGAGCAATGACATTCTGAGGCATACGGTGGTGGATGTTTTAGCAATAGCACACAGCTTTTGCCATGTTCACTTCAGGTTCTTCCAAAGCTCTCCTGTTGCCAAAATCTTCAGCTTCCCTTTTCTCATCAGAAGAAGGCTCCAGTCTCATCTTTGACACAGCTTGTACACTACAGACATGCCCAATCAATACAAAAAGTCTTAATAGTATTAGGAACTGTATAGTAGTGCTGATGGAAATGTTTTCGGTAGGTTGACACTTCATTAAGCATCAATTTCAATATTCATTAAGCATATTGAATAGGCCTCTGAAAAGTTACAGATTATCCATGGCCGTCTTCCTGCCTTTTCCCAAAGCCCTGCCTTTTAGAATATAGAATTGTTTAAAAAAGGAATTTAAACATCATCGAGTCTAACCATTAATGGAGCGCTGCCAAGTACACCACTAAACCATGTCCCTTTGCCACATCCACATGTCTTTTAAATACTTTCAGGGATGGTGACACAGCAAATGTCCTGGGCAGCCTGTTCCAATGCTTGACCACCCATCTGAAGAAGAAATGTTTCTTAACATCCAGTCTAAACCTTCCCTGGCACAACTTGAGCCCATTTACTCTTGACTTCTTTTGGGTAACCAAGGAACCCATTAGAAGTAAAAAAGGCCTCACAAAAGGGAAGTCTGATTTTTTTATCTGAAATCAGCCATTTCAGTTCAATTCCATTCCATAAAGAACTGAAAGGCTTTTTTGTTTTTATTCCAAAGCCAAATGAAAACAATTTTTGAACTTCAACAGTTGTTGCAAAGTGGAATTGTCATTTTGTGGACAGCACCACTGAGCATATGGTGTTACTGTCAAATAAATCTCGTTTAATATCAAAATGAGTAATGTTGCACTGATTGTGTTCTTTGGTGTATTTTTAACTCACTTAAATCCTATCTCTTCTCATCTAAACAGACCTTTCAGAGAATCAAAGAGTTTTGCTGCAGAATTGAGTCCATTTTGCTATGCAACATATTTTGTTATGCAAGCTATCCATTTTATTATGGCCTTTGCTTTGCAAGGACCACCACAACAGGAAAAAGTCTGTTTGCTTCCCCTTCCTGGGAGCATTGGACATGTTGCAAGAAAGCCTGTTCATCAAACAAGTTATAGTTCAGTTTTGCTGTTCCAAGTAATATGGGTAATCTGGAGAAATATTCTTAATTTTTTCCTAAGGGAAAATATTCCCTCTAGGTCTCAAATATAGGGTAAAAAAAAAGTATTTTAATATATTTGAACTCATGACATGTCTGTGAAGTACAACAGTGTAACTACATCCTTTACACCTAAGGGGAGCTGAGGTTCTGGGGTGTGAAAAACTCACATCCTTGAGTATTTTGGTGCAAAGACCCTGACATTAAGGGTCTTTGCACCCTTGCATTTCTTTATTTTTTAAAGAGGTATAGGATAATTGTTCTGCAGTTTGCTTGCATTCAGTTTTATTTTGAAACTTCTTTCTGAAGTAGGAGCTGCACACATACAGATCAGGGTGAACAAGTCATTTCACCCCACTCTGTCTCAATTTCCCTGTCTGTACAGTGAGAATGATGAAAGTTCTATAGAAGTATTGAGTACACATGGGCAGAAAGAGTAGGTCAGTTAAATTTCACCTGACACAGAACAGACTGAGTGCTTTTTCCTCTGTGTCCATGTTCCTGTCAAATGATGCAGGACAGTTAGTACTCATAAACTAGCATCACACTTTGAATTGCTACATCTTTGGTATTAACAGGCATAGCTCCATCCACAAAGCTGCACCAAGCAACCAGCAGAAGACATACAGCTGTAGCAAGGAGCAAAGGCAGGCAGCACTTCCCAGGGTTTTATGCTGACTTGAGCTCCTTTTGTCCAACACTTGACAAGGGGCCCAGGCTAAATAGGAGACCATAGGGCAAAGGGCAAAAGAATGATACTAATTCACAAACAGCCTCATAAAACTAACTCTTATTGGCTCTTTAAAAAGTTGTAACTGTCTGCCAAAAGACCTACACATGGATGAGGTCACCACGAGCAGTCAGCAAGCCCTGCTATGCAAGAGAAAGATCTGGTCATGTTTTGCTTAAATCAATAGAGATGTAGGTACAACAGAGGGGATCATAGCCTGGCTAGCTGGCCGTGGTCCACCTATTTTCTTGTCAGGCAGTCACCAGGAGTGGACAAATTTGTGCTTCAGTCTTAACTTAATGGTGTCCATAGGTTAAAAAAATACATGTGATCCAGAGAGTGTTTCCGTAAGATGCTGATTCCCAATCCAGCAAACCACTTCAGGATGTGAAAGTATCATTGTTTTCATTTGTCATTACCTGCTGTTTCATACAGAAAGGGCCTACCTTGCACACCCACTACTACTGTGGGTCAGGGTGCTCTCTGGGTTTCCTTCTCTTCACATAAACTATCTCATTAAGTAAATAAAGAAGATTGCTGAAGAAAACCACCTGCTTTTCTGGTTTCAGTGGGGGAAAAAAAAAATCACTTTTCTCCCCACAGCTTTTTTAATCTCATAAA